TATATATATATATATATATATATATATATATATATATATATATATTAATATTTTAATAATAGTTAAATGAATTGATTTTAAAATATGTAAACTACAAGTACAGAAAATTATTGCTGAATATGAATATTAACATGTGAAAAGTAGTTTAGCATCCCATCAATTTGTTTTGTTATAATTGTATATTGTTGGAAACATATTCTTACCTCTGGACTTACTATATCTGACTGTGGAGAGGTATCTATTTCAAGAGGATGTATTAAAGGTCGACCTATTGCCATTGCAATTTGTACTTCTTCGGGTGATACTATTTTATCATCTAACTTTTCAAGATTTGGCAAAGCTCGAAGTACAGCTAATCGGTAACTATCAAAATAATGGATCATTAAATTTTTGCAATCTCTCTTTTTATCTATTATTAAATAATTACCCTTCCTTCTCTGCACATGGATTTTCATCGAGCCATAAATTTCGTAAATTAGGCAAGTCTTGAAGATAACAAACTTCATTTAAATCTTTAATATTGTTTCGTCTTATAAATAATTCCCGAAGTTTGGGACAGTATTGAAAATCGGCAAGTGTATTAATGTTGTTTATGCTACAAATAAATACATGAACAATCATTATTTACGTTTCAGTAGAGATTAAACGAATAAAAAAATATATACTTTACAATTAAACAGTTTTAAATTAATTTATTTTAAATAACAAATGTTAATAATATTATGCAGTAATTCACATATAATAGTTTATCTATAATTTATACATAATATAATGTAGGAAAGTTTAAAACGTTTTTATCAATCCATCTTTCTTATTTCATTTATATCTTTAAAATGTAAAGTGTGTTAAAATAAAACTTTGAAAGTATAGAAAGAAAGTATAAAAGAGTCTGTATTATAGTATTCACATGCTTTTATTTATTACATAATAAAAAAGAGAATTATTAGTGAAAAAGAATTATTTTTGAAAAATGAAAATTACATGCGTCATAATCATAATTGTCCAGTCAAAATAAAATTTATTAAACATTTATTAAACATGAAAGCAAAAGAAATCTTTATAAAAATCAGAGAGAAAATTATGTGACACTGAGATGATTGAAATAAAAAGTTATACATATTATATATATTTTATACACATGTATTTTATACAATATATATCTTTTTCAAAATTATATTCTCATGTACAGAAAAGAGAAGATTACGTACACACACATTTATCTCTTTGTTTCATATAAAAAAATTAAATTTATACTGTACCCAATAATTAATATTATATCAAAAAATAAGAAATAAAAGATCATTAATCTTTTTTGGAGTAGATTTCAGATGTGCCAGATACGGATCTTCATATTTGCCCATTTTTCAATATTACTCAGATGAATTCATAATGAATTCAATGCATGTGTGGGTAGAACAACTTCTGAAGTTGTAGGTTGTGACCATGAGTTTAATATAATCATGTCCAAAGTAGGTATACGTTGCAGCCTCTATGTTTTCATAAGATGGAAAATATCTTAGATCATGATGATCGATAGAATGAGTTCACACTTTTGCGTAATAAATTACTTGCTAATAAATACTATAACAGCCTGCTCTTTGATTCAAAATTATTTCAATTCAAAATTACATATTACAATAAATGAAATTTTACAAATCATAACATTTTTCTTAATTCAATTTGGTTTAACTATCTTAACAACTCTCTTACCTCAGTGATATTACTTCCGCATTCTTCATCTTTCTTAAGATGCTAATATCTGTCAATTCTGTTCCCCTACAAAAAAATATATTAATTTAGTAGAAAAAGAAAGAGATATTGTATAATTAATCTCTTATACAAAATAAATAGGCAAATGACTTGATTTCATTTTAAAAGAATAAAAGTTCGTTGCGCTCTTTCAAATTATCAAATTATTACTCCTTGAAACAATGTTTACAAAAAATTAAAAATATTACATATTAAAATTCGACCGTCTACTTTGACTGCTTATTCCGTTGGACGAATGGAATCGTGTTGTCGCGGAATTTGTCAAGTACTTTTCCACGTATTTCTTCACACACCAGTGTCTCGGGAATAACAGTTTGTTACGCTCGAGTGATCATAATTCTCTTTTTTCTCATGGTAACGTATAAAATGTGTTAACTTTGCTGCGCGTTTTATTCGCGTGGTCAAATCAAGTGCGCTTGATTCTTGAGGAGAATTCTTCATATGATCGTGTCGCCGCGAATTTAATTTCTCATTACTAAAGAAAAATCTATCGTTGACCTGACGAGTGATTATAATACTTACCAGCAATTGAGTCTCGTCACGGCGGAAAAGTCCGACACTCGTGCACGAGCCACGATCATCTCTTCTGTCAACTTCACCATTGTGTCGCGTTTCGCCGTTTGGACGCCGTTATGTGACAGAAGATCGACGTGCAGCGATCCGACGACAGATTCCACGCGATTGTCTCGTCCACACGCGGAATTGTACACGAAATCACGATGAATTTTCACACGAGCGACGCGCGCCCTAACCGATCGCCATCATGTTTTACCATCGACTAGGCAGAAGACGCGAAGTAGAGTACAGTAGGCTACAAATGCTTTCACTGATCGCTCACTTCTCGCTCGCTGTATTCTGGTATGTACATGCGCACTACATTTTGCAGCGGCCTACGAGCATGTAGTCGGTTTAATGGCATTGGATGCTCTCGTATTCGGTGTTTCTACGTATATCTAAGGCCGGTATTCATAGTCAGTTCTCATTCTTTACGATCGTCTTAAATAAGTTCATCAACAGCTATCCTATTGATTGAAATGACGATTATCTTACGATTATCTTAAGATTTTAAATATAAGAACTGACTATGAATATCGATCTAAGAAATATCTTTTTGTTAAAAAAACATTATATTCTGCATAAATAAATTTTAATTAAAAGTATGAATTATTATTTAAAAATATTATATTTTATATAAATTTTAATTAAATGTATCAATCCTATACAGTACAAACTTCCAAGGGATTTTCTATAGATGTCCATAGGATATCCTATAAGAGGATGTCTTGAGGACATTCCCGAGATATCCCTTATGTGCTTATATGGGATTATTATTTTGCAAAATATGGATATTTTGTTAAGTATGGGTTAATAGTTCTATCTCGTATGATCGTTGTATTCGATCTCAATCGATTATTCGATATAAATCGATAAGCTAACGTAATTTGTCGCGCAAATTGCAATTTGAGAGTTAAATATATTTTGCTTTTCTCTTTTATCATGACAACATAATCAACATTATTGATTATTAATAAATAAATTGTAGAAGAAGGACATTCATGGATAATTGCTCGAAAAGTTTCGCTGTTATATTAAGTTCTCGATTATATTTCTCAGACTAGAGTGTTTAATAAATCTTAGTTTGATTAAATTCAAAAAACTATTCTTAATTGAATAATAAATAATCGAGAACACTACAATTTAAAGTTATATTTTAGACATATTTTATATAAATAAATCATAGTTTGAAGAAAATGAACAAGAAAAAAATACATCAGCTTTTAGTTTTGCAATTAACAATTTTTAAATTTAATCAGTCGATTAAATTAATCAGAGATGGTGAAACTGATCCTTACTGTTATTAATTTCTATCAATGTAGATTAATTTTAATTTCGATTTAATTTAATTTTTTAAAAATCTTTTTTAGTTCTAAGAATTAAACAAAAATAAAGAATAAATTAAAATTAAAATTAATAGATTAATATGGTAAAAATGAATTAATTACTTATTTCATTTCTACAAAAAGATAAACGTGAGTGATATCATATAAGAGAGATATCCTTGTAGATGTGAACGTGCGCATCTCGGACTATTAACGCATTCGATTATACAGACATACGTCATTGAGAATCAAGAAGTATGCAATCTGCGCATAAGTTTTCGCATTATTGCGTTGCCACGCTTTTCATTTTTTTTTTTTATAATTTTGTATTATGACTTACGTCAATTTTTATCATTGTCTATTAATTTTAATTTTAATCTTAGTATTTTAATTAATTTACTTTTTTCTTTATTTTTCCTAATTCTTAAAATCAAATGAAGATAGAAATTGAGATTAAAATTAATCTATATTGAATATTACAACATTTCTGTTATAAGATTGAAGGCAAGCAGGAACATGCTTGTAATGTTGCTTTTATTAAAAACAATTTTGCAAAATCAATCAATAGAGATATGATTTAAGATTTCTCAATCAATGGCGATCGTCACGATCGTTACGAACATATCTAACAAGTTCCTGGATCAGACTTTTTCTTTCTTATTTTCATTAAACTTAACGGTAAATGGCGTTATAAGTAACGCATTACTTCTTAACTCTAAAAATTATATCATAATCGATGTAACTGCAATAAATTCATATAAAACGCAAATTTTGACGCTGTATAAGTAATAATAAGAAATAGGATCACGTTCTTTTTCTTCATCAAAAGTATATATCATTATTTTGTAGCATATTAATTATTGACGAATAGTATTCGACGCAACATCGAATCAAAAATGCTTGATAGAAAAGGACAAGATTCACAAGATGTGAATAAGAGCGCTTATTCTGTAGTTTAGGGCCATGAAGCACCTAATATCAGTTTTTAATTTACTTGTTTGGCGTAATAAACAAGTAGAAAACAATTATTTATTGTATATATAATAATTTCAACATTTTACAACATTTATACATTTCAACATTTATACATAGCATTACAAAACATTTAAAAAATGTATATATTAAAAATATTTTCAATTTATATAAATACATTACTGTTTCCCTTTTCGCTAGATAAAATTCACCCAATAAGAAAATAGTAGAAAGAAAGATTCGTACTCATACATTTATCTTTTTCTTTTTAGATTTGTCAAGACGAAAGATCAAAGCAATTTTGTCGAATGCTTCGTCCAGTACTATATGTTAATGGTTGTAACCACAAATGTGATGGATTTTTTTATATTTTTCTTGCTTAATATTAAACCTTCTTGCTTAATATTAAATTACGCTTTTAATAAAAAATTTATAAGATATAATACATCATTTAAACATGATGAGAAACAAGAGATTCTTAAAACTAAAACTGCATTTAACAATAGCAACTTCTCTAATCAAAAAAAAGTAGTAGTAAATAATTAAGGCTTGGTTCTCTCGCGGCGCGACATGGGTTGTGTGACGTCAGAGGCGAGAAATGACATGTAAAATGTGTTTTTTGCGTCGTAGCTTTATTTTATACTTTTCTCTTAAAAACATGATATTTTCATATACTTAAAACTTGTAAAAAATACCAGAAAATAAGATATCTATCCAATAAGTCACATAAAAGTGTAAAATAATTCATGAAATAATGGTCACTGCTCAACTATTAGAAACAATTAGATCTAATGATCTGGTGATGATGCGGTGAGTAGACCGCTCCTATCTATCTTCTGTACGCGGCCCGTAATTCGCGAATTGTTTTTTTTTATAATTAAAAAATTGAGCTTCTGATAAAAATTTGATAGAAGAAAAATCGTCTTAAAATTGACTCAAGAATGTAACATTTTAAGGACAAACGGTTATTCTGAATCAGCCTATATGTGTCGTATAGTTACATGGATTTGTCATATTAAATACAATACAATTAATAAAAAATTTTTTGAAATATCTAGATGCAATTCGTTTACGAAATTTGTTTCAGCTCGAAAGACTTTTGTATGATTTGTGCCAAATAAAAAATCCGTAAATGTATTGTATGTATATAGAACAAGGGCCGAAATTAACATATCTAATAGCAAGAAACTTATTTCAAAATATGTATGAAATCGGATTTTTATGAATTTATCTGTGATATAAGTACAAATATCTTTTTTTATTTATCGAAAAAATGAGTTGTGAGCGTAAGCAAGTGAAGTACTGAATTAATATCCAGTGTGTGATGCATTTACTAAATCTGATCTAAATAATTCATATGATGATATTGATTCGTGATACTACAAACATTTTTCATGATCGTAAGTATCAAAAATTGGATTAAGGCGAACAGCGGAATAAGTGGTTGAAGATATATGGGACCAATATTTCGGTAAATCAGCAGTATTTAATGTTTCGGGTACAATAGTTTATTTTCATTGTCATCTTCAGCTCCAGTACATACAATACTCGATATATAATGATGTCATTAAATACGAAGTACGAAATCTATCTAAACGCTAATTTTTCTAATCGGTACTTTATCTCGTCTTTCATATAAATGAAAAAAACGCTTCATAATTAATTATTGACAATTATTAATATATTTAGATAGGTAAGCGTCTTGTCTTTCAATTTGTCGTAACTGCGAAGCATTAAAATCTATTCTTGTGAGATAAATTAGATATCAATATACATATTTTCATAAAAATTTCACCGCCACGCGACCGCTTACATGCGTGCGTATCTCGGTTAAAGTCGTTTTTATGAAAGTTCGTAAAAACATCAAGCATCGATAGGAAGACCATATTTCTTACAAAAGCTTAATACATTCGACACATTCGCGAGCAACACGATTTGTTTTGTTCTAAAAATTGTCGATGTTTAAATTAATCTAGAAAATTTTGAGTTAAAAAAATGACAAATTTATTCAATTAATACACTTAAATAAATCAGTTTTTTAAATAAATCAATGATTTGTTTGAATACGCTATTATTTTTTCAACTATTTATTTTTCTGATACCAATAGGTATCAGGATAAACGTTGTTTTCCGTTTTGTAAGTTGATAACGAAACATGATTTTGAATTTTGCCGAGTATCGTTTTGCTCGCAAATGTCTTAACTAACAACAGTTGCTGTGCAAAGTAATGTTACATTTTATCAATGAAGATTTTATATATATATGATATAATGAACGTTGTGCGACCTGGCCATTTGGCACTCACGACTGTTGTACGGCGATGAACGTAAGGAAACCTAAGACGAGTCAGTATCGCAAGTATGTTCTCTTTATGTTTGTTCGATGCTCGTAACGTTCGCTCGTATATATGTACGTGTATGTATAAGTATGTGCTCGTACATGCATACATGTATGTATAAGAATCAGAAGTTGAGATTTCGAAATGGTATTTAAACGTGACAATATCGGAGGAAAGGGAAGAAAGGAGTCGGAGGAGGGGAAGGAAAAGGGTGAAATACACGTATGAATTAAAGCTGGGACACTATTTGAGTGTGAATATGTGACATACGTCGTATATTATACGACACCCGATAAACGCTGATAGACATCATGATGTAAAACATACAGATATGTATCGCATCAACTGTTTTTTTCGAATAGGCAATAGTCGATAGCTTTCCGCGGTCGGTAGATATAATCCTTTTAAACGCGAGGGAAAAGTTTATACGAGACAGAGCAGAAATACCGTAGGTTTTAATAATGATAGTAGCGTAATCATGAACTTCTGCAACTCCTTCTCTTTTCAATTTTGCAGTAAAATTAAGCATCCCTTGAATCATTTAGATTTAGAATAGCGATATAGATATATTGATAGATATATCTATATCGCTACTCTAAATCTGAATTCAAGGGAATGCTTAATATCTAACGTTGAGAAATGAAAAGATTACACT